GCGTGCGCGTGCGCGCGCGCGTGCACACATGTAGACGGTTGTTCAACTTTTTTTACCCAAACAGATGATTTTGTCAAAATATCTTTTTCCATGCAGCTTCTAACTAAACTGAGAAGTATTCCTGGTGCCAGCTTGGCTTACAAATGCCTAAAAGTAATCAGTAGAAGACTGATTCTCACGCCGACTTTCTTGAGGAACTCTGGATTCACTTTAGTTAACACCTTTGTGATTGGGAGTTGGTGTTTGGTAGGTGGAATCTGAATAGATCAGAAAACTGTTTAACCTATTTAACAATATTTAAGTAATTTATCCTGCCTGAGAGGAGACAAAAAGCCACACATAGGTGACTTGCCTCGAGACTGTCAGGTGAGTTAGGGAGATGAGAGGTAATTCAAAGGATTTGGCCCCAACAGTAGAGGCTTAGAAACAGTAGGTAAACATTCAAAAATTAAATTCTCCCCATAATATCTTTGGCAAGCTAAGTCTCCCCTATGTCATGTGCCCAGGGGAAGAGCAGAAATGGGATATATGTGGACACTTGAGAAATACCCATCTTCTCCGAAAATCATTGGATTGTTAGCATTATTATTTCAGTGTAGTTTCTCCACAAAAGGTAGCAAAGATAAGAAAATTAAATATACCTACACATACACGCCTTACATGCACACACACACACACACACACACACACACACACACACACAGTTAAAAACGCAGCAAGATTTTGCATGAAAAACTTCAACTCATAGCTTTGATTCTAGGGTGACTATTCATCATAAGTAGAGTGGAACTTTTGTGCCATATAACCTCCTGTATTTCGCAGTAGATTATTAGTCATAATTAAATAGCTATTAGATAGTTTCAAAGATCTTAAAGCTTGAATAAGTTGTAATGATAGCTGTATTTCCTCCAAGTACAGCTAAAATTAAGAGACAATCTACTCTTAATTTAAGCATTTTCATGTTTGAGAGATCAAATGTGCATTAATGATATAAAAATAGTGGTTATTAAGAGAACTCACACTTATTTTATTTTTTAAACATTGCACATACTGTGCAAAATTATTTACCTGCTCAGTGCTGCCCTATGAGTTAGGTGGTATTATTATACCCATTTTGGAGATAACAAACTGTGACTCAGAAAGGTTAAGTTGTTTGCCTGGCTTACAAAGCAAGCATACTACTACTTGAAGTTCCTCATAGGTAGAAAGAGGATTTCTAACCAAGTTCCTATGTTTATGGGGACTTGGCTCGAAACCCACTAAGGACTTCTGAGCCAGCTGAAATCCAGTTACACACGAATCTCTCAGAGCACCTTTAATTTTCTATTTTGTTAATTTTTAATTTGAATCTAAAGCTCTACTCCCACACCACCCTCCTAACACCCCTATTTTTCTTTTTTTTCCTGTCTTGTTATGCTGCTTCCTGCTCAGCAGAGTACCATGAAGCATGATGCTTAGAAAGGCTGTGGCTCTGTGATGGTCAGTTTTTTCACCTCTTTGATCTCCTCTGGTTCAACACTGTGCAAACATTTCGCAAGGCTCATGCCTTCCTCTGTGGTTGCACAGCAGGTCAATCATAAGCCTGCTTTTGTATTTTATTCCTTCTTCCTCAGGGCACAGAATCTGCAAGAAGCTAAATGGACCATTTTCTTACTATCACTTTTATGTTGTTTTTTAAAAAAATATTTTATTGGGGAATTGGGGGAGGGGAACAGCATTGGGGAATTGGGGAAGGGGTTCTTACTATCACTTTGAAAGGACTGACATTGAACTTCACTTGATGTTTCATGGTTCCTGAAATGTGAAACCACACTCCAACCATGGTTTTAATTCAGCAAATCAGAATGTTTCAATAAATACTGTTGTTTGCTTTTTTGTTTATTTGTTTTTGATGACCTTGGTCAAGATAGTTATTTATCTAATATCTGCAAAAATCAAAGTAATATGTAGGGGGTGGTGAAAAGAAGCTAGGTTTTTCTTTTATTTTCCATCATCTTTACAACTTCCCTTTTTGTAAATGGCTCTTAAGTTAGGTTAAAGAAAAGGCAGGTGAGCAAGAAAACTGGTAAATTACTTTTAAAAATTAAATAAACCATTCATTAGGTCATCAGAAAAACTGAGAAACATTTTTTGAAAATGAAAACAAATCATAATTCCACCAAGGAGAGGTATCAAAATATTAATAGTAGTTATAATGTTCCAGTCTTTTATTTCTATTTGTATATTTTTAAAAAGTTTGGGTAACTTAAAGTGACCTTGTATAGAAATTCCCATGGAAGTATATATACATTTAGAAATATACATGCATTTTTAATGACAACACAGACTTACAATTTATAGATGTGGTATATTTAACCATGTATTTAATATTAGACATTTGTATTATTTCCTTTTTTCCTCCTATACAATTTGGTTATAATGAACATCCTACTCATTTAAATCTTTTATCTCACATTTGGTTGTTTTCTTAGGATAGATTTTCATAAGGGGTCTTAGAGGGATAAGAATATGACTATTTTTAAGTCTCTTGATTCAAACTGCTTTCTAAATATTACAGAGGGATTCATTTTATAGGGAAATGTATCCTGGTATAGTCTGCAAAATGTGCGCCTCTATAAAATAAATTTCAACACCTTAAAATTCAATTTCCCAGAATGCCCATAAAATATTTAGTAGTATTAGACTGGACCCTTAACAAACCCATGCAACTTCCAGCAATTATTTAGTTACCTTCTCATTGACAAGTTCAGAAGACTCAGCTTATAGATAAATGGGCAGGAAAGTGGTCAGACTCCATACAAACAGCGAAGTACAAAGGTGTTTTTTTGAGGTGCTTATTTATGACATTTTGTATAATGGCATTATATTCCAACTCTCGTGTGCCCTAAGGAAGAAAAGTTCTCTTGAATCTATATACCTGAACTGTATAATTGGCATCAAAAGCCTCCGTGCTATGTTTCTTTTTATCCTCCAAATATCAAATTAACCTTTTATTACCCTGACTTCCTATATAATATGCATTTTTCATGTTAATCATATTTGCATTTTGTCTTAGAGATGAAAACTTTGGCATACTTTATCAGAATATCAACAAACATTAAGCACCCCAAACAACATATATGGTATCATGTAACCAAGTAATACCCCGAATGAGTAAAAAAAATTGTATTACAGTAAAACCTTGGATTGTGAGCAACTTGGTTTGTGAGTGTTCCGCAAGAAGAGCAAACATTTCTGCTACATTTTCACGTGGTAAACAAGCAGTGTCTTGCGATACGAGTAGTTTGCTTCCAGAACGAATTACGCTCACAAACCAAGGTATCACTGTATTTCTGTTAGCTTCCTGGTTGAAAGTAATTTGCTGATTCACCAGTAATGTATCTAACTAAAGTCCAATTTGCAGAGGTGAAAGAAGAGACAAGGAAAATGAGAAGTCTAAAACAGAGGAAAGGCGAAATTTGCTTTTAGTGTCAGAAATGGCCCCAGATGAAGAGCTATTAATATAAAGT